TATATATATATATATATATATCGGATAACATTATCCTCACGTATCTCGAACGTATAAAAAAACAAAGAAGATTAAACTTTAACGAGAATATCATGTTAATAATCGTCGTCCTGGCGACGTTTGAAATATCAATCATTATTAATTCTTAGAAATTAAATCTAACAAATATCAATGTTCGATGATATTGATACTTTGATGCTGTAGGAATAATATCGGCATTATGGCGTCCGCGTGTGCATGAACGTCGGCGGTTCTAGCATGGCTCGTTGAACGTGAATCTCGTCTACCACTGGACGATGACCCGTCTTGCTTATTTATCGTCGCGCTTTTACGGCTTAATTGTTATTCAGTGTTTGCACTACAAGTCGTTCGTCATGCACGCATACACATAAGCACGCGTCGCTGATTATAACATCGATCGATCGATACGACCTGGATAGATATTTATTATGCATATTATTTTCATGTGTACATTTACTGCATGTAAAAAAAATAATCTAAACCTTAAGTTTTTCATTCGGATGAAATATTGTAACACTTAATTGCGATATAATTAACACTATCTACAATCTGATGCCAAATTATTTCAAATTAATTACACAACCTCAAGTAGCAAACTTGTAAATAAACAATTATGGTCCGTTTTTACCAACGTAGATTAACTTTAATTAATTTTAACTTACATTTTTTTCATCTTTTTCTAATTCTTAGAACTAGAAAAAGGTAAAGAAATTGTTGAACCGAGATTAAAATTAAATTACATTGATAGACATATATATACATATTATCATAATTTAATTAATTATATATAATTACATATAATTTAATTAATTGTGCATTAATACATTATTAAACGTACTTTTAGTGAAATGTAGAAAGTCCTGGTAGGTAGATATATTTTGTATAATTTGATGTGCCAAGATTTTTAATATATAATCAATTTAATTTGAAGAAAGTTAAATACATTTAATTAATTACATTTAATTACATTTAATTTATTGAATGCAATTCTAATTAATTAATTATATGTCTTTGCAAGTCTCCCAATGCCAAAAATTCTGCAAATACTTTCAAATTTTGCTATGATTTGAGACAATAGAGAACGTTTCAATGTAATGGATTGAATTTGAAGGAAATGTTATTTTACCTGTTTCACTTAATTATTACAACATCTCCACTTCACTACGTAAGATTGCGAAACTAATATACGTATGTTGAAACCACGCATCTGTAAACCATTCGATTAAGCGAAGAAAACAGAAAAAAGGAAGGGGGGAGTAGGGTTCTATTTCGCAGTGACCATGAGAGTAAAATGAATACTAAATAGAGACATATTTTTGTAGACTGGACTTGGGACTTTATCTCTAGGTGGACGGCCTGCTATCGTTGATGGTTCTCATAGAATGACTGATAACGCACGCGATACAAACGTGAACAGAGATTCAGAACCTTTACTATTCATCGCACATATTTAGAATATTTAAAGATCAAAAGTTCTAAGTATCTTCTATAGCACTACAGAGAAATTCTTGAAACAATTAAAAATCTTGAAAATAAACAAATAATATCGCTTTGATGAATCCTGCAGAGATTTTTAATGCAAAATTTTATTAGGAATTTCTCAAAATATATATTCAATTTGGAAAACTCTTGAAGATTTCTTATAGTCTTTGAGGATTTCCGAAGAGAATTGGGAAAAAATTATTGAAATTCAAAGAAATTTAAAGAGTCCTGAAAAATTTCAAAGACATTTAAAAATTTGAGAATATATATACGAGGAATGCTTTTTTATCTACTCCAGAATTCTGGAAATCTTCTGCAGAGAATCTTTGAAGCTATTAAAGGATCTTTGACTTCGATAAAAATATTTATTTGAGCATCACTGCTGCGTTCAAAACTATCACGTTTCGTGAACACGTGCATCGTCGTACATTTCTCATATTATTCGCCGATTCGCTCAGCTGTTCACTCAGCTGAGCACCACTGATTATAAATCAAGTTCTGTTCATTAGCTTATAAAACGATTATTTTGAACATTGATCAGCTTTAATTTCAAACAATTACGCAATCTTTTGAGCAAAAAAATCATGTAAATTGATGAAGTTCAGTTCGCACATGATAAGTGATTTCGACATATTAACTTTGAAGATCAACTGAAATTTTTTAGATTAAAAGGAATAAAAATGCGCCTCATGCAATTCCTATAAGTGAATAAAAATGCATTGAGATTGGAAAAGATTCATTTCAACGTTCATGAATGACACATGAATGGTACTGAAAATCTAAATCCATTTTTCAATTTATTTTAATTCATTCTCGTTTCCTGAGCCCTCTTTGCCCAGTGAATTTAATTGTGTTACGATACTTCCAATATATACTGCCAATATTAAAAATCTGTAATATGCGTAAAGTGAACTATAGATGTTCAGTGCTGTATAGTTGCATATCGAAACACGACTTAAATGCAATCAAGATTTGAAGTTTAAAGAGGTTAAATATCATTTGATATTTATAAAAATAGCAGACTTCCTGAATTTGCTCTACTTTCCCTTGATTCTGGCTTATAATAGAGTCCATATATAATAAGAATCTGAACACCATCGCTGTGATGGCCATGGTAGGTTCAAACCGGAAGTTCATAATCATAAGGTACGAAATATTCAAATACTATTAAAATAGATGTAAACTAAATACTTATTTTTTTTTCTTATTTTTTTTCTTATTTCAATAACCTTGATTTATTATCATACCAATTGTTTTAAAAATGCATAAGAGCGCAAGGTGTGGCATTATTTCAAGGAAATAAATATGAACATAGTAGAATGTAATTTATGTGGAATAAAACGTATCTGTGACAACACAACAAATATGACGAAGCACTTGGATTTTACAATATAGATAAAAAGAACAATAATTCCACACTGAGAGAAAATAATTGTGGTAACTATAAATTTAAAAATACTAGTAATTATAGTATCTATAATTAGTTTTATAAAATAACAGCTATTAATCTAGCATTTAACACTGTAAAAATATAGTTATGGCAATAATATTCGTATACTATTAATGAAATATAATAGCATCTTAACTACATTAAACAGTTATTTAGATCTAAAAAATAAGATATAACCATTATCTTTTTCCAATTTAGACACTTTTTAAAAATAAAGCACTATATCATAGTAACAAATTAATTATTGTTGAGATAACTTTAAAAAATATATTTGAAATCTTGTCACTAAAGTTACTTAGCAGTACCCGGCATTGTCACAAGAGAGACGCAGCGGAAATCAGTTTCTTTTAAGAAGAAAACCCCTTAGCAGAAAATAAAAAGCGCAGCATTAGGTTCGAACTTTGAAGACAAAAGTAAATGAGAGATGCATCTCGACAATTTTTGGTTCTGTACCAAAATTCAGTAACCTTCTTAAAGTTCGTAGAAGTTATACATATAAAAATTCGTGCAATTATAAAATTTCAGTAAGAACAATAAATAAATTAAATGAACTAAGAAAATATAATAATATTAATAATTTATAATTGATTAATATTATTATATTTTCTTGGTTTATATAATTCATTTATTGTTCTTGTTAATAGGACTTTATAACACATAATTGAGACGTAATTTGTCTTCAAATTTCTAGTGCTGATACTTTTTTCTCTCAGTACAAGGAATTGAAATTGGCCATAAAGAGGAAGAAAAGGTCCATTGATCACACATAAAATAATAATAATAATAATGCATTTTTTCTTTATGCTATACATATTTATAAATGGATTTTATAAAATCCTTTTTTACTTGCAGTTATTGGCTGAAGAGAAATAACGCTGATAACACTGCGACTTCACACGCTGGAGCTAGAACAAGTTATAAAACTGAAGTTGTTACTTTGTCATTAATCAATCAGTTTTACATTTGTGAATATGTTTGAATTTTATTTTATTTTGCCTCATGTTATAGGAAAAACAACTTTCTGTACAAATAAAGTACATTACTCACAGTTGCAACTATTATTAAGAAGATATCTAGTTTTGTGTAGTGAGATTGTGTTTTTACATATTGATAACTGGATAACTATAAAAAGGCAGAACTAAAAATCAATATATATATATATATCAATATATTTTTAGTAAAATTATTAAGATTGCTCGTACATGAGAAAAATTTCGATCAACATATATTGCAGTTAATAAATTGAATAGCCTTCCAATTTGCGATAATAAAGTTACGGA